ACGTGCGGGAAATATTGTCTCCGACTCTTATTTATTGCCATGACATATGAACATAAGTGGGAACTGCCGCCGCTTGAACATTAATGGAACCCTAAGACCTGATGGAGTGGTATTAAATCTTAGAGTCAGGACCTTTTCAACAGCGTTATCTACTGTCAATACCTTGTATTCGAGCACATGAGTTATTGGTGCGGAAGAACGACCTGTTTCGAGCAATCATTCTTTTTATATATTATCTACTAATATAAGAAAAACTAAGTAAAGTATAATATGTTATTGAAATATGAATTGAAACACAATATACCATTTGTTACATAGGATAATGGTAGACTATGATTTGTATGCAGCACACTGATAATGAGAGAAAATTTTTTCCAATTAATTATAGTTTTGTGGTGTAATAAAAGATGATCCATTAAAAACGGGTGAACTCATACACATTGTATAGAAGAATACGAAAAATATAATTAATAAACAATTCCTAGTAATCTATTATTAAGTCTAAGAACATTAAATTTTATCGAACAAAATATATATTTTTAAGACTATCGCAATACCAATCATGACGTCACATGTTGATAATCGAGTTAGCCCAGAATGAACCGGAGACTTGACCTCTCAGGACCGGGGCTGAAGACCTTGTCTGATACCGGGGTGCCGAGCTGAACCGAAGATTAAAGATATGCAGAACCACCGTGGGAACGTTTCCCTAGACCGGCACCTGGCTCAGTCCGGGCACAAGCCGACCTGAGAGAGTGTCGGGTAGGAAGTAGGCTACTGGCCGTCTCGCGAACACGTTCGAGTAAAGTGCCGACCTGATGATCCGGGATAGCCGGCCAGAGGGAAAGGGCGGGACTCAATGAGCATCAAAATATTCCCATCATTGGATGATGGGACAGGTTATCATAGCCTAGCGTCCTACCAGCGAGCCTAGTCGATAAAGCCTACCAGCATTAAATGTCCCCCATGCTGGCATTTAATGCCTGACAAGTAATGATTGCAGAAACCTCAAATCGCATTAAATAGATGTCAGAGAGAAGCCGAACTGCTCTGCAAGGCCACTGTGCGACAAAACCGGCGAACAGTAGCTGAACAGTACCACATTAAAGACTACTTTAAATAGCAGCTCACTTCATTTATTTTGGGTTGTTGAATCTCAACTAACTCTGCCTTCTCTTTACTTTCTCTCTCTAGAAGTTGTAAGAAACTTATTGTAAGAACCGTAAGTATATCACAAGTGTCGACCTCGTACGAGAGGCCGACACCGTGATCGCCTAATAAAATCGTAATTAAGCTATATCTTTCCTTCGCTTCCAGTCTCTTATTTCCAACATTTATTATTTTAACCGTTGACCGAAAACGCTCGTCAACAGTTTGGCGCTAGAAGGAGGGCCCCATAAGTTACTTGGTTTCAATTATTCGATCTTGTGAAGCCCCATATCCACTCACCTTCATTTACCTCGAATCCCGTTCAAGATGGCTTCATCCAGTCACGACGAGTCAACCCAGCAGTCCGGCGCTTAGTCTCGCCGGCGCAACG